CACGAGCCGCCCGGGCGGCGTGGCGGCAGGGGCGGCGACGTGGCGGTGACCGCGGGAGGGATGGCGGGGTGGAGGAGGAGCAGGTGCCTCCAGCAACGAGGGGAGCTCTTCCCGTCCTCAGGCCTTAGGCCCACCCCCATCCCTCCCTGCATGTGGCAGCGGTGGTGGGAAGAACCTGCCCACCCTCAGGACCCCATCTTGGAACCACCGAGGAAGGAGAACAGCGCGCTGCGGCGGCAGCCCGGGCGCAGCAGGGCCAGCAGCCCCGCGGGCAGCAGAAGCAGCCAGCGCCGCGGGTGGGCCGCGGCGGCGACTGAGAGGCCGGGCGCCGCCGCGTGCATTGGCCCTGGGCCATCGGGCTGCCACCTCCCGCGCGCGTGCGCGTACACGGCCTCCATTGCGGCGTCGACCCCGCCACCGCAAGACCCAGACCCCCTCGCGTCATGACAAAACCACGACGGGAAGTGTCTCGCTATTTTCGGCCTCCGGGGGGCCTTACCAGGCCTCGGGACGATCAGAAAACGACTCAGGATGAAAAACCGGTCCCAGGAAAGGGGAACCAGACCTCTGGGGTCGATGTTGCGGAAAAATCACGACGTCGGGGGTCTGGGGACACTCCAGCCTCTGCATCCGCGCCGCTGCGGCTGCTGTCGACGTCGGTCCCTGCGGGCTCCTCTGACTGGTCGAGGCCTTCGTCCCCGGTGTCCGACACGACCAAGAACACCGGCTCGCCCTGCCCGTGGCCCCGCCTCGCCGCCTTGGCGCTGCGTCGCACACAGGCTGCCGGCTCCGGCGTGGGGCGAGGAGGCGGCGGCCGAGCGCCGCGCGCCCGCCTCCGGCGGTGGCCGGTGCGCGGCGGCGGGGGGCCGAGGACGAGCACCTCCTCCGCCTGCGCACGCGCCAGCTCCGCGCCGCGCAGGCCCGCGTGGAGGCCCGTCGCGACGGCGCCCGGGCGGGCGCGGCCAGGGAGGAAGAGCTCGAAGAGCTGCGGGTACCGTGCCAGGACCCGCTGCACCTTGCGGGGCGCCCGCGTGAGCGCTGCGAGGGGCGCCCTGCCCCCGAAGCGGCGCAGGGCGGCGACCACCCGCGCCATCACCGCGGCGTCCGCGGGCGGCGCGCCAGAAGCAGAGGCCACGGCGGCACGCAGCGTCCGCTGCGACGACGCGGCAGGCAGCGGCACAGGAGGGCACTCCTCCCTCTGCGGGCGCAGCTGCGCACGTGGAGGCCTCCCCAAATGTGGTCCGGAGGGTCGCGGTGACTCGCCGATGCATCGCAGGACGCATCGGCGATGCATCGGCGAAGCTGGCGATATGCGTCGGCGACGTCGGCGATGCGTCGGCAACGTCAGCGTGGGGAACATCGGGCCCCACACCGGGCCTCGTCGCCGCTGCATCTGCGATGCGGCGCGATCCCCCGACCCCGTCGCCCAGACCCCCGACGTCATGATTCCTCACGCCCTCGGAGGTCTCGGCCCCCTCCCCCAGGACCAGTGCCTCCCCGGGGCCTCTGGCAAGGGCCCCCCGTCGGGATTTGTTCACTGCGGGGCGCTCGGACCCCACTCGGGAGGCCTGGAGCGCGCGCGTGCAGCCGAAGACGACAAAACGCCAGCAGCATAAACTCTTGGCGCTCCGCGCGGACTCCCTGGATCTGCGCTGCCTCCCTGGCGCGGCTCTCCGAGAGGTCCGCGCGGGGCGCCAAAAGCTTCTGTGTCTGGCGACTCTTCCTCTTCGAGGCAGGCCCCTCGGCGCTCCGCCCTGGCCCTGGCCGTCGCCCGAGCCCTCCTCGCCGGCCCAGGCGCGCTCCACGGCGGCCGCGGCGCCGTCCATGCCGCGGCACCACGGGGGCCGCGCCCCCGCGCCCTGCCCGTCGTGCCGCCGCGCCGCCCTCGCACGCGGCGCGGGCGCCGCGTGGGGCTCGGCCTCGGGGCCCCGGCTGTGCGGCTGCCCTGGCCTCCGTAGGCATCGTCGCACCGATCCCTGTACACCCCCAGCCCAGAATCCCCTCGCGTCGTGACGAAGAGTCACGACGGGAAGTGTTTCGACATGTTCGACCTCTGGGGGCCCTTATACACCAGGCCCCCGGGCGAGCAGGAAACGACTCGGGACGAAAAACCGGTCCCGGGCGAGGGGGCAAGACTTCTGGGGCCGACGCTGTGAACAACGAATCTCGGCCCCGCCGGCCGCCTGGCACCCCACGGGCGGGGACATAGGCTGTGCCTTCGGGTGTCGCGGGGCCCCTCTCGGAGCAGGGCGATAGTGTTGGGTCGGGCATGCCCGCCTACAGGCGGATTGAAAGGAATATAAAAACGGGCAACAAAAACAAAACTACTCAAACAGATTCGAAACGATCGTCCCCAAACTATTTTTCTAGTGTTTTTGAATATTCCTCCTGTAGAGGGACGTGCCCGACTTAACGACAGTGGAGACAGCAGCATCTCAAAGTCGGTCTCCAGATCCTTCCCGGGGTCCAGACGCACCATGCTGTGGCGACGAGGCGCCCCCTGGCCAACTACTGTCGGCTCAGCTCGCCCTCCTCTAACGGTCCCCGCCTTGGCCGGTGACCTCGTGGGGCTGAGACACCATGGCCCAATGCGGATGAGCATCGTTTGGACGTTCGAAGGTGGTCGAGAGGCAGCAGTTGGCATACACAGGACACATGACCGCTCGGAGCTCCGCGCGGACTTCTTCGAACCGCCTTGGACCCCCCTCCCTGGCGCGCGGAGCGCGCCAGGGGCGGCGCCGGAGGCGTCGCCAAGGGGCTCCAACGCAGATCCAAGGAATTCGCGCGGACCGTCGAAAGTTCATGTTCACGCAATTTTTGTTCTTCTTCGAAGCTTACGGCCCAGTGGGGATGGCGGATGAGTTGGGGGGCGAAAAACGGTAGCAAATAAACTGTTCGGCCGTCGGGGACTCCTGTCCGAGGGCGGCTGGCAAGTTTCTACCCCAACGGTGGCAGGCGGGGTATGAACTTTCCCGCCGCCCTGGGGAACGGCGTCCCCGACGGCGGGCAAGTTTGCCTTGAACCATCCCTCGCCCGCCACGTGAGGATCGGAAGGACGAGGCTGAGGCCTCGGCGAGCGCAGCGAGGACAGCAGCCGCGGCTTCCCGACGACGCCAGCGCCGTCCACCACCCGCGGGCCAGGCGCTGGCCCCGCCGCGGCGGCGCGCGGCGCCCGCGGCATGACGAACGTCTTCCGGGCCTCCTGCCGCTGCGGCACCTCCGTGCCGGGAGCCCCGTCGGGCTCGCGGCTGGAGCGCCGCTTGCGCGCCAGGTGCCGGAAGAAGACCTCCTCCGCCGCGCGGGCTGGGTCGGCCCTGGAAGGCGGCGGCGGCGCCTGCTGCGCCGCGGCCTCCGGCGGCCGCGGCTGCCGCTCCTGCTGCGGCGGCTGCTTCGGCCGCGATGGCCCGCTGGGCGCCTGGCCGCTCTTGGCGGCGGCCGGCGCGCTGCTGCGGCGGCCGCCGGCCTCCGCTGCGCCCGCCGCGTGGCGCCGTGGCAGCCTGCCGGCGCGGGCCCGGAAGGCCGCGGCAGCCCTCGCGCGCCTGGGCGGGTCGAGCAGCGTCTCCTTCGCGTCGGTGAGCGCCTGGAACTTTGCCCTGGCGGTGGGATCGCCAGGCCGCTTGTCCGGGTGGCAGTCCAGGCTCGCACGCCGCCAGGCGCTCTCCACCTTGGCGGCGGGCGCGTCCGGGTCGCTGAGGCGAAGGAGCAGGAAGGGGCAGGGCGTCGTCACCATGGCACCTCTGGCCCCCGCTGCCGCTGCTGCGCCCGAGCCAAAATGGCTACTTAGGGATGACGGCGATGAGGAGGAGGAGAAGGAGGAGGAGGAGGAGGAAGAGGAGGCAAGAGGACACGGCATCTGCGCAGCCTCCTGCTCAGAGAAGCACGCAGGCGACGACGACAAATCGGCCCAAGGCGTACGTTCTCCCCCGAGATCACGACTGGAGCCTTCCTCTCCCCGCACCCTCGCGCTCGGAGAGGGGGAGGCGGAACCTTGAAGAGGGAGGAGGGGGGGGGATGGCGGGAGGGAGGGGGATAGGAAAGACGAGGAGCCTTGAGGAGGGAGGAGGGAGGGAGGCCTCCCCCCACCTGCAACGAGGAATACGCGACGAACCCCAGTCAACCAGCCCGACGACTATACGATGACGACGACGACGACGACGGCGGCGACGACGACGACGGCGGCGACGACGACGGCAGCGGCGGCGGCGGCGGCGGCGGCAACGACGAGGACGACGACGACGACGACGACGACGACGACGACGACGACGACGACGACGACGACGACGACGGCGGCGGCGGCGGCGGCGGCGGCGGCGGCGGACAGCGACGGCGACGGCGACGGCGACAGACAGCGGCGACGTCGTCGGTTCGGCGGTTTCCGAGCTTTCCCTGGAGGCCCTCTTGGCCACGGCTGGACGCGGCGCCGAAGACGCTGCGCGGATGGGCCCCGGGAGGGGCCCTGGGAGGCCGACTCCGAACTTCGAGGTCCCGCGGAGGAGGGCGGGGGCGACGCAGACGCCGACGCCGACGCCGACGACGGCGCCGACGATGACAGCGACAGCGATGGCAATGGCGGCGGCGACAGCAACGGTGTGAAGCGGTCTTTCTGCATTCTCGGCCTCTGGAAGCGCGTTTCGGGCCCCTGGGACCGCCAACAAACTCACCCTGGATGAGAAGCCAGCCAGGGTCGACCCGACGGCGACGGCGGCAGCAGCGGCGATGACGACGACGACGACGACGACGACGACGACGACGACGACGACGACGACGACGACGACGACGACGTCGACGTCGACGTCGACGTCGACGTCGACGTCGACGTCGACGTCGACGTCGTCGTGCCGAAGGCTTGTGAACTTCTGGAGGCTCCGGTGGCCTAGGCTGGACACGGCTCGGGGGGTCCGACGTGGACGGGCCCTGGAAAGAGCCCCCGGAGGGGCCGACTTCGGGTGGACTCCAGGTTCCAGCGGACGGGGGCCGCGCCGACGGCGGTGGCGGCGATCCTCCAGCACCACCATGTTGGATGCCTGGAGGTCCGCCGCGTCGCCGGAGGCCTGGCACCGCCGGCGCATCTGGAGGAAGAGCTCCAGCTCCCTGGGGGAGGGAGCTGCTCGCAGGCCGCAGGCCCTCTCTGCTCGCGTGGTGCAGGCGGCCGCCGCAGCGGCCAGCGGCAGCGGCACCGGGGACGTGGCGCGGGCGAGGGCCTCCTGGGGACGGCGGAGCAGGGGGAGCTGGCCACCACCCTCCTCGGATCGCTGGGCGACGGGAGACTACCAGACGCCCAGGGCGGTCCGCAATGTCGGGGGGGGCGAGGCGGAAGACGTGCACGGTGCCGAGGACGCGGGCGAGGCCGAGGATGCCGACAAGGCCGAGGACGCGGACGAGACGAGGACGCGGACGAGGCCGAGGACGCGGGCGAGCTCCCGTCCGCTTTCCCAGGGGTCGCTTCCTGGCCCCGGGGCCCGGGGCCACCAGAAACGATCCGGCGAAGAACTGCCCCACAGGGGGGATGTCGGGAGCCACAGTGCAGCTGGTGTTGAAAAATCACACCGTCGCACTCCATCCCTTCCTCCCTCCCTCCCTCCCTCCCTCACTCCCTCCCACCCTCCCTCCCTCACTCCCTCCCTTCTCCCTCATCCCCCCACGCCTCCACCCCGCGGAGCTCGACTGTAAGGGTAAGACCGTCGGCCCCCGAGAGCACCTAGGCACGAGGCCCACGGTGCTCGGCGAAAGCCTCTCAGACAACCGTATCTAAGAAGGCAGATGTTGACCTTTAGCCCAGGCTTCGTGGGGTTTGCGAACGGACTTAGAAGTTCGGGGCCCAACTCTGGGCTACACGATGGGGGGGCGCCCATCATCGATAAGGGTGCGTTCGAATAGCCCCCTCGGGGTGCATCCCAAGGTTTCCCCCGCTTTCTGAGCGGCCGGACTTTTCGAGCGGAGCTGGGGAGAAACATCGCCTGCGAGCAGAGGCTGGGCTGGTTCTGGCGATGGTGGCCCTTGACAGTGCCTGGCCTCTCGGCAGTCCTGGACCTCCGGCGCCTTGACTTGTTTCAAAATTCCTGGGCCCCCGAGCTTCCCTCGACCCTTTTCCAGCAGGGACCGATCGCTCCCATCCCGAATCGTTTTGGGCGGTCCTGAGGCCCCAGTGGGCCCTGGACACGGCAGGGCCGCTTTGCAATTTTCCCGAAACGCACTCCTGACAAAAAGAAGCGGTGAACCAAAACGGCACCCGGAAACGGCAAGACAACGGCTCCGGAACTGGCACTGGAAACGGTGACAGCAAAAAACAGCGACGGAGCCGGAACAAAACTGGCGCCCGAACAAGCACAAAAATGGCAGAAGCGGAACCGGCAACGAAAAAAAGGCCCTGTCGTGTCCAAGGCCCGCGAAGCCCAAGGCCTGGTGAGGGCCCCGAGAGGCCGAAAGCTATGAAAACCTCTATCTCGCCTTTTCGATTGTTTTCTGATTCATTGTTTTGCCGATCGGCGCGGGCCCTCGCACCCCCTCCCCCCCCATGAAGTAAATCTTGGCTGTTTGGGGCGCCTGTTTCAAGCAGGCGGAGGCCTCACCCACAGTGCGCACTATTGCAAACAGTCGCATTCAGTAGAGGTCTGGAGCCAGACCCCCCCCCCTTCCGCCCCATGTCGACACGCCGACTAAGAACACGTTTGCTCGAGGGCCAGATGCCTGGGCTTGTTGGGAGGGGGTGCCCGTGGGAGGGGATTCCTGATCTCGCCCTGCAGCTCCTCCACCTCCTGGCCGCGGCGCTGCTGCTCGGCCTTCTTTCTTCGCTCCTGGCGGGTCCGTCGGAGAGGGGCGGAGAGGACGAGGGAGGAGGGCGGAGGGAGGAGGGCAGGAGGGCGGGAGGAGGAGGAGGAGTAGGAGGAGTAGTAGGAGGAGTAGGAGTAGGAGGAGGAGTATGAGAGGGAGGAGGAGGAGGAGGAGGAGGAGGAGGAGGAGGAGGAGGAGGAGGAGGAGGGGGGAGCAGGAGCAGGAGGCAGGGGAGGAGAAAAGAGGGGGGATGGGGGGGGGGGAGGAGGCGCGAAGAAGGAGGATGGGTGGGGGAGAGGAGGGGTAGAGGGGGAAGGGAGGGAGAAGGAGAGGGAGGGGAGGAGGAGAGGGAGGAGCAGGGGGGGGAAGGGCATCGCCCATTGAGGCGGACGACGAGGGGAAGGCCTATCCATCTCATCACCGCTGCCCTCATCATCACCACCACCATCATCACTACCACCATCATCCTCATCATCCTCGTCATCGTCGTCGCCGTCATCATCATCATCAGCATCAGCATCACCATCGTCGTCGTCATCATCACTATGATCATCACCATTATCACCATCATCGTCACCATCACAATCAACATATTCACCATTATCATCAGTATCAGGATCCTCCTCATCATCATCAGCATAATCATCCTCAGCCTCATCCTTCTGATCATTATCATCATCTTCCTCATCATCATCGCATCATCCTCATCGTCATTATCCTCGTCCTCACTATCAGCATCCTCATCATCAGGTCATCAGCATCACCGTCTTCGTCGCCGTCAACACGGACACAGTTGTCAGCATTGTCGCCATCATCACCACCATCACCAACACCATCGCCGCTGTCGTCATCATGATCACCAGCCGCATCAACCACAAGATCACCAACACGACGCTGATGAACGATGAGCACCATCACCAAGATCGAGACCATAATCACCAGCCTCCCAAACAACATAAACCGCAACAACTCGCGCGGATGACAAACCCCAGCCGAGCTCTGGTGGTAGTGTGGCGCGCTGGCTCCTTCCCGGCCAACTCGTCCTCGAAACGTCGCTGCTCGCCCGAGAACTTCCGGTTGAGCGCCTGGCCCGAACTCTGTGGGACTTCCGAGCGGACAGCAAACATGGGGCCCGCCTGGGGATACACGATGGGGGATAAGGGGTGCATCCGAATAGCCGAGTTCCCCCTCCCTTCCGCGAGGCTTTCGGGGAGAACCCCAACGACCCGCGCGCTGGTTCCCGACACCGCGCGGAATGTGAAGCCCTGAGCGATGGCGGCTTTCCGAGATCGGCCGATTCCGGGCCACCCGCGGCGTTCAATCTTGAACGCCCACGCCGGGATCGCTGCCGTACCGACACGACGCGAGCCTACCGTGCGGACCGTCTCCTTCGCCTCGAGGCCCAAAATGAAGCCCTCTGATCCGAGGTCCTCCGCCATGATCGTGATGCACGAGGTCCCCCCCCCCCTTGGTTCTGCACAGACGAGTGCATGAAGGCAAGCTCGCCTGAAGAGCAGCGCCCTGCCCACATGCTCCGCGAGTACCACGCAGCATCCCTGAGGCCGACAGAGTTCAGGGCCCTTCTCGGCTGATGAACGGGCAGGGCATGGCATAACCCCGACGTGTCGAGGGAGTCAAGACAAGACGGGGGGTTCTCAACATGTTCGCCCCCCCTGGGGCCTCCAAACGGATCTTCTGGAATGAACAAAAGACACGCATGGAAAGGGGTCGTGACTTCCGGGGATCGCGTCTTGAGAATGCATGGACGTGGAGATCCCCAATGTGTACATCTCTTCCTGGCACCTCCCGCGGTCGGCGTCCGACTTAGAGAGCCTCACCACGTGGCGAAAGAGCGCGCCCGGGCTGCTCCCCACAAGATTGCCCAGATGCTGTGCCTGCTACATGGCGATGAGTATGGTGCTCTGAAACTGGGGGGCAAACAAACCTACCTCGCTTTTGACCACCCTCGCTTCCAAGAGATACCAAGCGATGCCAAGCTACGGCCTGTATTGGTCAGGCCGCTTGACGAGGAGGCGCGTGGTATGACTTGGTTTTGCCTGGAAGCGAAAGCGGGGTAGGTAATTCACGCTCTGAGAAGCAGGACGAGTCGGGGGTGAAACAACAATCGCCTCACTCGAGAAAAACCCACAATCTGAGAGCGAAAGGGCGAGCGTAACACCGCTTAGCGGCTCGGCCGCGTGGTGCCGGAGTGCCATGCCTGATACATCTCGGAGGTCATGGGGCTCCAAAGAACGGAGATGAGTCGGAGGCGCAAAACAAGCGACGTGCTCGAGACATTCCCCGCAATCTGCCCCCCTTGCGGCTCGGGCCAGCGGCTCCAAACGGGCGCCTCAATCGAGACATCTCCGAGATGTGGCCGCGAAATGGCAAGTGCCCTGCCCCTTGGCGGCTCCTCCACGCGGTGCCCAAGCGCCACGCCTGCTACATCGTGGTAACCACAAGGCTCTCAAAGCAGAGGAGTCGGCGACGCAAAGCGAGCGCCTCGCCCGAGGCCTCCCCAGCATGTGGCCGAGAACAGGCAGGCTTTTCTTATCCCCCCTGGCAGTTCCTCCTCTGTGGTGCCCAAGTGCCACGCCTGCTTCATCAGAAAAGACGAAAAACGACATAAACACTAATTTTTGAAGGACCACGCGGGCTTCTTGGATCTACGCTGGACCCCCCCCCCCTGGCGCGCGGAGCGCGCCAGGGGCAGCGCCTGAGGTGCCGCCAGGGGGGGCCCAACGCGGATCCAAGAAATCCGCGCGGACCGCCTCACGTTTACGTTTATACACTTTGGACTTGCTCGGCTGCTAGACGGCGGTGACCACGGAGATCTCAAACGCGACACCGAACACCTGGGCTGCTGGCGGTGTGCAGATCATCGGGGAATGGCGTGGCCATGGCTGCCCTCTCAGAGGGTTGGGACAGCCCCCGCCAACTTCGACAGTCCTCCCTTAGGTAGTTTCGGCTGGCCTCCGCGGAGTCCCCCCCTCCCCCCCGAGGCATCCACTAACCTCGACTTCCACATCCGTTCCATACTCCTTCTTCCCCTTCTCCCCTTTCTCCCCTCGTCACATTTCCTACTCACTTCTCCCACGCGCGCTCGAGGGAGAAGGGATAAGGAGATGGATGCGCAGGAGGAGGAGAAGGATACTTAATAGTATGGGGAAAGATCTCAAAGACCGACGAGGACTCGATCTGCTTTGAATGCACTGAAGAGTCTCGACCCAAAGGACCAACGTATCCGCTCAAAGTCTATCCTCGGATCCCTCCTGTGGTCAGTCCTGGCCAGATTCCCACCTCATATCGAGGTCTGACGGTCCCGATGAATGGAACGGGCCCCGAAGGAGGCCGAATTCAACTACACCATCAGGCGGTCCAGCGAGCAGACTAGAAGACTCTTCGTCCTTTCCCTCGCCCATCTACTCCCAATCCTCATCACCATTGACCTCTTCCTCCTCCTTCCCTTCTCGTTCCGCCTCCTCCCCACTGACCAATATCGCTCATCCCGCTTCCCGGAACACGTGAGACATAGTATTCGACCAAATCAATCAAAACATTCGGCCGAAACATCGGGCCATCCACTTCCTTCTCCTCCTCCTCCTGCTCCTCCTCCTCCTTCTCGTTTTTTGGTGGCCCCATGGGCCCGGCAAGGGCAACCAGGAGGCCGAAAGCGACGACCTCCCCCCCCATAACGCATTTGCTGTACGACGCGAAGGCGTATGGGTTCCACTCTCCTCGCACGAAGCTCGGGTACGGGTCCTCTTCTTCTTCCTCCTCCTCCTCCCGGAGGAGAAGGAGAAGGAAAGGAACGAGCATGACGAACAGGAGGGAGGAGGAAGGAGGAATGAGGAAGAGGAGCCGCAGGTAGGATGAGGCAGATGAGGGAGGAGGGACAACCGGAACGTGTCCAACGCAACTGCAAGGGGTGCAATATAATGAGGAGGCGTGTATGTTCAGCAGTGCGCCATCAGGGACTTCCTTTCGACGTCTGATGTGGCCTCGCTGAAGGATGGGCGTGCCTAGCGCGCCACGAACTGACCAGTGGATCAGCCTGAACTGATCTCCTGCACGTTGACGCGCCGAGATGCTCATGCAGCTCTGTCGCCCTGACACCTGCTACAATCGGGTCGGGCGAAAGGGGGGGATAGCAAATGGGGGGGTTGAGAATCAGCTCACGTAGCTAATTTTCCCGGCGCCTCCCGGCGCCGGAAACGACTATGTATCGAGGAATGGGCCCCTCGGTGAGGCCAAAACCAGCTGCATGCAGCAAATGTCGTAACCCCCCCTTTCCCAATCCCCCCCCTTTCGTCCGGCCCGATACAACGTTCCTCCTGGGGGCCCTTGGCGGTAAACTCGCTTTGGGGGGCAAGAGGGGCAAGATGAGGAACAGGAGGATATGGGAAATGGGAGAATGGTGCATGTGCGAGTCCGCCGAGCCGCCGAGCGGCCGAGGCGAGATGCGTGCCGTCAACGACCATGCGAATGCGAATTCCTCGATGGGGGAGGACGGCTCGGCCAGCACGCTGGCAAGGCACAGCCGCCTCCCCCCGCCCCAGCGCCTCCAAGCCCTCAGTGGTCTCACCCGGGACAAGGTTGACGAGGGCTGCCCTGCTTAGCGGCCTCCGCTTCCAACTGGGCTGCCCCGGCGTCCAGGACCTCCAGCTCGGCTGCAAGCTGGGCCGCCTCCAGGGCCTCTTCGGCCACAGCGGCCCCTTCGGCAGCGACCGCAGCCCGGGAGGCGCCCAGGCGTTTCTTGCTCGCCTCTACCGCCGCCTGAGCCGCCGCCATCGCCGCCTCGACTCCCGTGGGCGCGGCCGTTTTCTCCCTCTTCCGCTGCAGCGCCTGCTTACCGCCGAAGGCCTCTACGACGGACGTGCCAACTGCCCCCAATGCCTCCAGCTCCCGTGCCGCGAACTCGACGGCCTCGTCAAGGATGGCGTGCTCACCCTTTCCACTTCCTGCGTCGACGAGCGGCGCACGGACGCACGGGGCTAGACCTGGAGAGCTGCTAGCCGGAGCATCTCTGCTCCTCAAGCTGATTCACGCCAGGTGGCCCCAGAGGTGCTTCTGCACCACCATCGCCGCCTGGCGCTCCGTGTCATCCTTCACGTGTCGCCTGCCCCAGCGTGCCGCCTCCTCGGCCGCCACGCGCTGAGCCATGCTCGAGCTGCCGGCAGACCTGCCGCGCCGCCCCGACATGGCGTGCAAGCCGCACAAGTCCTGCGCTTCGCAGGCCGCGTCGGCACCCGCCCCCTTTTCTTCCCTACGAGCGCGACGCGGGGAAGCTGATCCCTCCGCTGCCGACGAGCAGCTCCATCAGCGCCGCCCCAGGCAGCCCCAGCGCCAGCGCCCACCACCTCCGCCCTCGCGAGGTTCTCCTTCAGGCTTGCTGCGCCGCCTCGATGCTGTGTGCTAGCTGCCCATGTCCAGCGCGTGGCGGCCGCCTCAGCGCCAGCCACCCTCTGACACGACCGCGGAGTCAGGAAGTGCCTCCACGCCCTGCCAGCCAGCAGCTCCAGCAACGCCGCCCGAGGGAGCCCCAGTGCCCAGTGCCAGCGCCTTTCGCCTCCGCCGTCGCGATGTGCTTCTCGGCCACCGATTGCCCGAGGAGCGCGGCGAGGACCTCGCGACCCCGCCTTAGCCCCATCCGCCGCATTGAGCCGCTCCGCAAGCAGCGGAGCACCTGCCAGCACTTGCCCATGTGCCAACTCGTGGAGGGTCGCACCGATGAGCGGCACAGCCTCCGCCAAGCAACACGCGCAGCCGAAGCAGGCGCAAGCGCCTCGGGAGGGCAGCTCCCGAGCCATATATGATCTAGGGTTGCCCCCCCCCGCCCCCCCTCCCCCCGAATGCATATGGGATCGACCCCCCCCCCCGCCCCCCGCTGGATGGGTGCGCCCGTGAGCCTCGCGAAGGCGCCTCGCGAATGGGATCGCTCCCCCCCCCCAGGTGGTCGTGGCCTTGTGGGCGTAGCGTGGTGGAGGGTGCCCTTGCACTCCCCGCCCTCCCCTGTGGTTGTGGGGTGGTTCGTCGTCGTCGTCGTGGTGGTCGTCGTCGTCGTCGTCGTCGTCCCTCGTCGTCGTCCCTCGTTGTCGTCGTCGTCGTCGTCGTCGTCGTCGTCGTCGTCCCTCATCGTCCCTCGTCGTCGTCGTCGTCGTCGTCGTCGTCGTCGTCGTCGTCCGTCGTCGTCGTCCGTCGTCGTCGTCGTCGTCGTCGTCGTCGTCGTCGTCGTCGTCGTCGTCGTCGTCGTCGTCGTCGTCGTCTGTCGTCGGCGGCGTTAGCGTCGTTGTCGGCGTCGAAGTCTTCGTCCCCCCACCATCGCATCTGAGACATGGGGGGGGGGGCCTCTGACACTCTGGGGCCCATCCCATCTGGGGGCGGTGTAAACCCTCGACCCGGGATCATGTATGGTTCGCACTGGAAAGCCAATTCGAAACACGCCGGTGCAGGCTGGGGCGGCGGCCGCCACGTGCGCCCGCAAGCCCGAACCCGAGCCGACACGGCCAGGAGGCAAAAGGGGGGGAAGAGCAGGAAGGAAAGAAAAGGCGTGTGTATATATACACATATATATATATATATACATATGACGTGCCTATGGAAGATAACATTCGGAAGCTTCGGACGCAGTTAGGCTTTCGCACACAATCGCGGCCTGGGGAAGGTCTAGAGCAGGCCGTGCTGCCACGGCCCTGGATGCCAGAACCGCTTTGCGGAGGGGACGCGGGAGGAGCAGGAGGACAAGGGAGGAGGTGGACGCCCAGGAGGACGAGTCGGGGATGCCCCTGCGGTGCGAGCTCGAACCCCTGTCGGGAGCGGAAGGAGCGAGATGAGGATCGCACTGGCACCGTTCCACGTTCCAGAGGCCGCGCCGAATCTCGCATCCAAGGCGTGCAATAACGTAGCTGCCCCCCTGCGACGCCCGCCCCGCCGACGCCGGGCGGGCTCGCTGCGGACGCCCGAGGACTGCAAGTCGCGGGCGCCGCGGGCGGAGGGCGGGGCAGAGGCCCCCGCGCATGGAGAGCGGAGGGCGGGGGCCCGCCGCGGCGCTGCTGGTGGCCCAGCGAGGCACGGGTCGAGCCGACGGCGGACCAGATGACGACCAACTTGCATCTTTACGCGCCCGCAGCGGGCCCGCGCGGTCGTGCCCGAGGAGGAGGAGGAAGTGTGAGAATCCCTTGTGAGAGTCCCTTGTTCGCACCGCAGCCGGTTTGAGCCTCGAGCCCAGGAAAACATACTCCATATCGAAATCATCCGCTTATCCTTTCATGGTAGCGGAGCCGTGGTGAACAATACACGGACCTAGATAACATCCCCATCCCAAGTAGGGCTCTGGGAAGACTCGTTGTCGAGTAGCATCCCCAACCCAAGTAGGGCTCTGGGAAGACACGTAGTGTAGAAATAATGGCAGCAATGATTGACACGAAACTGTTAGGACGAGGTCTAAAAGATTTCTCCGGAGATGAAAGTGAATGGAGCGATTGGTGTTATCGTTTCGAATCTTATTGGGGAGCTGTGAGCCAAGTAATGTTGCAGAACATGGAACGAGCACGAGAACATTCGAATCCCATCACACTAGCAGCGACAGAAGACGATGTGAGACAACATTCAACAAATTTAGCGTATATTCTAAAGAGTGTCGTGTACGGAGAGATGACGAAAGTATTTAGGACAATAGAGAAAGGGAACGGTCTCGAGATGTGGCGTAGGATGTGCACAAGGTATGAGCACAAAGACAAAAACACGAAAAGAGGGGTTCTAAACGCAATCATGGACTTCAGTGTCTCGGGCCCTTCCCTCCCAGAGGTTCTTGAGCGCCTGGAAGAGATGGAGTTGCTAATAAAAGAGTACGACGGTTTGGCAAGCCCTGACGAGCTAGCAGATGATGTAGTTGTCAGCGTGGTTATGAAAACGATCCCGGAACCCATGAAGACACATTTCGATTTAAATACACATCTGTGCTAAACATATGAAGACCTCAAACGCGAGATCCACAAATATGTTGGGATCAAACGTGAATGGAAAAACCCGTACGCCAGAAAGGACAACGGACCGAAACCTATGGAAGTTGATGCGTTGAAGGGTTCTCCGAAAGGTACCCCGAAAGGTTTTCCGAAAGGATCCCCAAAGGGTGACAATAGGGGCTCTCCGAAAGGATCCCCCAAAGCCACTCCCAAGGGCACTCCGAAGGGATATTCCCAAGGAGCGGGGTCTGGCCGTGGATACCCATCATCCTTTTGGCGACGACAGGGTTCCTCCACTCAGGCCCAGGGCTGGTACCAGAACGACCGGAAAGGTAAAGGCAGGGATCAGACGAACAGTGGAGGCAGAGGTAGGGACCAGTCGAGCAGTGGAGGCCAAAATGGCTGGAGTCAGAACGCAAACAAGTGGTGTGACATTTGCAGGATGAGGAACCATTGGACGTCAGAGTGCAGATTCAACAACAAAGGGAAAAATCGATCAGGGAAAGGAAACCATTCCTACGAACAGGCCTGGGACCAGGACTCTTGGGGTCCCGGGTGTTCTTGGGACGAGCAGGGCGATTGGAACCAGGATGGAGAAGAGCAGCCAGAACAACACGACGAATACTCCCCAGAGAGTTCGCGGCTCTGTTTCCTGGGAGCAGCTCTCCGGACGAAGGCGACAGCGAGTCGACCGAGTCGAACGAGCGTTTCCCATGTGAGTCAGCTGCGCCAGCCGAGAGCGATCCGGGAGCAGAATCACAGGATGACAACGCACTTGCTTTCGAGTATGGTTTTGCGGATTCGTCGAGCGACGCTGGCAGCGAGAGCAGCGCACCCAGTGAGCACGCTTTCTGTGTGGATGTGGGCTCTCAGACAGATCCCACTGGACTTCTTGCGGAGACAAGCTCTCAAACGGAACCTGTGGCAGACCAGTACGACAATTTCCACGACTGTCCAGAATGGTTGGTGATGGCGGATTCGGATGACGAGGGCGATGCTCCCATTAGCACTCATCGCAAAATCGCCGAGAGCTTTCCAGGGACGACGCTATACATGATGACGATGTTTGTGATGATGTGTGGGGTGTCGTTTTGTGCAAGCATGTGGTCTGAAATCTGCGACGTGTGTTCACATGCATGCACAAGCTTGTCAAAAATGCGTTGGGCCATCGTCGGGCTGATCATCGCACAAGCGATTTTGATGTGCATCGTGGTGGACTTTGGGAAAGGTGAACGCTACATAAACTAGTTGTTGGACGAAATCCCGCAGGGACAGAACAGCGTCGCGTCCACCAGCACATACACACGGAGAGACTTCCAGATCCTCTTGGATTCTGGAACCTTCGATCATGTGTGCAATGAGTCTCTCGCGAAACACATCCTGTGGTAAAGTCTGCTGGCAAAGGAGGTGTGACCGCCTCGGGAGATCCGATGACACGGATTGGACACAAAGACGTACCTATACAATTGATCGGCCACAACGGCGCGACGGTAGTGTTTGTAATCCGTTTCAGCGTCTTCAAAGAAGCAAGTACCACAGTCATCAGCATCAGCAGGCTAACGAAACAGAAAAACATCACTTGCATGTTTGATGGCAGCACTTGTGTGATGAAAGGGCCACATATCCCAAAACCGTTGTCTGTGAAATAACACAATTTCCTGTATCGGGTAACGTGTAAGTTTGTAGACCTGGTAAAGATCATGCCAATCATCCAGCGCCAGTCGTTGCACTCAGCTGTACTCCGGCCTCTCGACGAGCCGCCGGAAGAATTGAGAATGAATGTTCCCGCAAAGATGAACAAGGAAATTTGGAGTACCATCTGTGAGGGCGAACCTTATGTGGTGACACCCAAAGCAGAGAATCACAGAGTTCCCGTCGGACAGTTGCCAAAGAAGCTCACATACGATAAAATCGCAACACATTTCCCTCTGCGCATCACGTGGGTAAAATGGCCAAGGAACGAATGGGTGCTCTTGGAAAACAGGGTAGACTGGGCAAAGCTCGAAATCCCAGAAGATTTCATTATGCCAGGCAGGACAATCAGATTGTTCGTTCAACGTGAGGGGGACAACGATCCCCAAAACAGATCTGAACCGAGCGACGTTCCAATGAGCCTCTCAGGAGAAGCTCATCCACAAAATAACGGGTCCACCGGCGCGCAGAACACAAATGACAGTCGCAGTGCAGGTTCCTCTGGAAACAACGACCCTCCAGCACACGTGCAAACGTTACCTGAAGGAAAACATGTCATCGATGGAGTGACGTATGTAGTGTCAACTTGTCCGAAAGAGTTCGTATTTCCAGTAAATGCGCAGGGTCCTGTAAGGTCAACGTGGATGCAAATGCTCAAAGGGAGTGTTTGGAAACTTGTAGAAGACAGCGTGAACGTCGATCAACTGAGGGACAAAACGCAAAGCTTTGAGCAAGTACCGTGAATACTACACGAACCGTTCAAGATGATAACTGCGCTTCGAAAGCCATTTTCTCAATCGCACCCTGTTCCTGTGCAGGAGCAGCCAGAGGAAGGACACAGACCGTTGGCTCCCAGAATCCCCACTGCACCAACACTTAAAGAACGATTGGAACACAATCTTACGCACATACCTTTTAGGGCTTGGTGTGAGTTCTGCGTGCACGGGCGCGCAAAGCAGTCTCCACACAAACACCCAGAAGAGTCCATTATCCCCATTGTACAAAAAGACTACTTCTTCTTGAAAACGGCGCACGACGCAGCAGTAATCACACGTGTATCAGTAATTGATGTCGTAAACGGTTATGGTGCGTGCACACAAGTCAAGGCCAAAGGGTCCTCTGACACGCACGCCGTGGGATAT